TTGTAGACCTTGCTCTGGCCTCCCCGCCTCTGTATTCTTTGGAGGTCTCCCATCCAAATACTTGGCAGGGTTGGCCCTGCTTAGCTTCCAAGATCTGAGGAGATCAGGCTTAAGAACATAAGAAAATAAGAGAAGCCGATGTTGGATCAGGCCAATGGCCCATCCAGTCCAACACTCTGTCACACAGTGGCCAAAAATACCAGGTGCCATCAGGAGGTCCATCAGTGGGGCTTGCCTGGGCTATCCAGATCATGGCAGCACTGGATTTCTTAATGTGCTGTGTGAAGCTATATTTCTTTTGTCAGTCCTGCCCATCAACTGTGTTGACATTCTTGAGTTCTATCAATTACCGCTCATATGAACCTGCCCATATGTTAAGATCATCCGCTGAGGTGAGAATCAAACACAGGACATTTCATAGGTCATCTCTGCTGTGGCACCAAAACTGGAATTCCTTCTCCATGGTGATTCACCTGCACCACACCTGATTAGGGTTGCCAGCTTCCAGGTGGTGTCTGGAGACCTCCCGGGATAACAACTGATCACTAGGCAATAGAGATCAGTTCACCTGGAGAAAATGGCTGCTTTGGAAGGTGGACTTTATGGCATTATACCCTGTTGAAGCCCCTCCCCTCCCTAAACCCTGCCCTCAGAATGCTCCACCCCCCCCCAAATGTCCAGGTATTTCTTAACTCAAATCTGGCAATCCTAAACCTGATGTCTCCCCACCTTCGCCCCCCCCCCCCGGACATTTAGATCATGCCATTGCACTCCGAAAGTTTGCTTGACCCATTCTGGCGTGCTCTGTGTGTTTCTCATAAACTGAAAATTGCACAGTAGTACTTTAAGGGTTTAGGCTATGTAGATTTTATCTGTTGATGAGCTGGTTTATTAGTGTTCACTCCTACTTTTCTTTTATGCTGCTGGTTTTATGTTTGTACATTAGTTAGGGCTTCTACCACTCTATAAACGACCTCAAAGTTTTGGGTTTTTTTGTAATTGAGAGGTGGGAATAAATATTTTAAATAAACAAGGGAGAAAAAAAAATCCCTTATCACCATACCATGCATAATTCTATAAACCTATATCATATCCTCTCCCCTCCCTTGATAAAACAATGAAACTTCACTGGAAGCCCAATTGCATAAACTTCTTACTTGAAGAACTAATCATTTCTAAGAAATGTGCCTTGTACTTCCATCGTGAGGTTGGAGCCCCATAGAAGAAGTGCCAATACACTTGCAACCCAATACTGCCCATATCCAGAAGTCTGTGCCCTTCATACTTAGGGCTCGGTAAACTACATGTAACATGCAACTGTTATCTCGTTCCCAGCACTGACTCTCCAACAGGGATTTCTTTCTCTCTTTCAACTGAAAAACAACTGATTGGGAGTAGTGGATGGAGTAGAAGAGACCAAAGGGAATGGAACAAAAGAACATCTGCTTATCCATTCCCCAGTTTTTTCTTCTGCGTCCCTTTGGGTAGCCCATGGCCAGAAAAATGACTTGGGGGTATCTTTTGTGTATAAATGGCAGGAAGGGGAATAGTTAAGCAGCCCCTCTCCTCCCTTTCCCTCTTCCCAGGAATCCAATTCTGATGGCAACTACTGAAAGGGGGAAAGTGTTATGGGGAAAGGAGATCTGGCACTCTGACACCTAAGTAATGTGGACCTTGGTTCTCCCAGCAGAATTGCCACCCAAATGGTCAGATCATAGATGGAATACAAGGCCTGTGTAAGACTGAGCATTACATCGATATTAAAATGAGCCTCTCACTGTAGAAGGCTCACTGTAGAAGACAAGCTTTCAAGCTGAAACAGGAGATTCCCAGAAGTAGGTTAAGCCGACTGGCTTTGTTTGGCTCCAGGCCACCTGTCAGCAGAGGCAGCTTTTCAAGATTTCTGACTGTTGCACTGAGACCATGAAATCAACCTGCTGTGCAGTCTTATGTGCACAAAGGTATCCTAGTACACTTCAAAAAAAAAAGGGAGAAGTTCAACACAAGAGTTGACATTAGTGATACCGCTAAAGGTTTACAATTGGCAGTTAGTAACGCTTGGCTCCAATCCAAAGGGATCACAACCCAGGAATTCTTCTTGGGTACAAATTGTAAGCTGAGCTGGTTATTGTAAGCTGAACTGCTTCCTCTTGCCTCCTCATTCCTACTTAAATGGCTGCTGCAATGGCAAAAGAGAGGTTTTCATCTAATTTGAATGAAAGAAAAATAACGTTGTTGTAGATTTTCCAGGCTGTATGGCTATGGTCTTGGCATTGTAGGACCTGATGTTTTGCCAGCAGATGTGGCTGGTATCCTCAGAGGTATAACACAGAAAGAGAGTTCTCCATCTTCCTGTGTTATACCTCTGAGGATGCCAGTCATAGCTGCTGGTGAAACGTCAGGTACTACAATGCCAAGACCACGGCCATACAGCCCGGAAAATCTACAACTAATGAACTCTGGCCGTGAAAGCCTTCAACAACATATTAAAAATGACACACTTGTCGGTGAAAAGGAAATTAGTCCAACTGTGCATCAACCACCAAATATGTTGTTCCAAAAGAAAGTGATATTGGAGCAGCTCTCTGACACCTAAAATCCTGTCCTGGCCCCGCTGCTTGACCTCCTGATGGCACCTGGTATTTTTGGCCACTGTGTGACAGAGTGTTGGACTGGATGGGCCATTGGCCTGATCCAACATTGGCTTCTCTTATGTTCTTATGATTCTCGTACATTCTTGGATGATGCTATAACACCTTAAGAGGGTTGTTTTGGGAGGATAAAATGGAGGAAGGGAGAAGGAGATTGTGAACTGCTTTAGTTCCTCACTGGAGAGGAAACAGGGTATAAATACACAAATCCCTTCTAACTTGAATTTGGTGTAGTGGTTAAGTGCGTGGACTCTAATCTGGGAGAACTGGGTTTGATTCCCCACTCCTCCACTTGCACCTGCTGGATGACCTTGGGCAAGCCATAGTTCTAGCACAGCTGTTCTTGAAAAAGAGCAGTTTCTGTCAGAGCTCTCTCAGCCCCACCTACCTCACGGGGTGTCTGTTGTGGGGAGGGGAAGGGAAAGGAGTTTGTAACCCGCTCTGAGACTCCTTTGGGTAGTGAAGGGCGGGGTATAAATCCAATCTACTCCTCCTCCTCCTCTTCTTCTGAATTGGAGTTGGCCACAACCATCTCCAGTGAGCCTACAAATTCTGCTTTTTTGCCACCACAACATGGAAAGATAAAAGGTTTCCTCATTACCATGTAGTACCATAAAAGTTGTTAGAAGTTAATGCCACTCCCTGATGCATCCCTTCTGAGCAATGGTGAAGATCAGGCTTTGCTGTGACTTTTGCTGTAGCTGTGGAAGTTACTCACACTCAGCTATTTAGATTCCACCAGCACCATCTCATCAGGGAGACAGCCCCTGCCTTCCTCTGCCTGAGGCCAGCCTGGATGAGCTCCTGCAACAGAACACATGCTGGGCAATCTGTTCTTCCCCTTCCTCCTTCTGTGACTAAGAAATGAATACGGACATTCTGGCTGCATATCATGAGACGCTGAGCAGGAAACTGCCTTCCTTTGATCCTGCTCCACTAATGGGCCTTTCCTGCTCGGGAATTTACTATATGATTCTGGTTCACAGTTGCTTCAAAGTAAAGCACTTTGACGTTCCACTGGGAAAGATGAGGGAGGTACAAAAGCTGCCTCTTGATTTCAGCAGAAGGTTGGCACAGGCTGTTCAGGATGCATTTGCAAGAACGGATATGTGGTTTTTGACAATGTGGTTCCAAATCCTTGTTGCACATTGTAAGCGGTATATTATTACCTACAAGGTACGCAATTGTGTATTTTCTCTCATTCACAGGCAAGGACAGCCATGTAAAATTAATGCAGATCCAAACCAGTGTTTGCTATCACATGCATAATCAGCAGAACATCACAGAGCTTGCTGGAGTAAGCCACTGCTTTTCTTCTTCTTCTTTTTCTGCATCTGATAACATTTGCAAATCTACTGCTTGTTCAGGACATTTCCCTACAACTGTGAATGTGTCCCCCCCCTTTCGGAATGGAAGAACAAAGATACTACCCATGGCATTTCTAAATATGACAGGTGTCCCTGCTTCTCTGAAAGAAAATTGTCTTCTCTGGCAGCACCAGCAGCAGTTTCTAAGACACTAGTTATACATATTATATGGCTCTTGCAGAAAAAGTACAGATACTTACTGACAATTCTTTAATGATTTCCTGAATCTCTTTCTGGCCGTGCTTCGCTGCAACGCATGCCGGGCTCTCTCCGTACTTATTGGTTACCTTGCAAGCCTGAATAGCCCCAGGATGTTGGAGGAGAACAGTAGCAAGCTTCCTTAGTCCAAATTTAGCTGCACAGTGGAGAAGAGTAGGAAGTTCTTCCAAATGAGAGCCTGCATTGAGAAACAAACATAAGCACCACATTAAAAAAAAAAATCTCTGATTTATGCATTTACTTTGAGATCATGGAGAAAGTGGTAGAGGCATTTTTTTTAAAAATAAACCACCTACTCCCGTGTAATCCTCCTTGCGCTTTGAGCTAATCGTAAGGGGGAGCCGGGTATCAGTTACATGAACGCATGAAGCTGTTAGTCTGTCAAGGTTATTTCTGTTTTCTCAAACAGCCAGTGGCTGTCCAAGGTCTCAGGCCTTGTTAGTTTACATCACCTAAATTCCTGATCCAACTGGAGATGCCAAGGATTGAACTTCAGACCTTCTGCGTACAAAGTAGATGCTCTGCCATTGAGACATGTCCCATCCCCACACAACCTGTCACCAGTCTGATACAAAATGCCTTTTTCACTGTTCTTTTCCCTATTCTCGTGAAGTTATAGGCGTGATCCACATCCTTCACAGGTAGTTTACAACAATACACAAAAGGCGTCCAAAGAACACAATTATGTTTGATAATGTGAAGAAAAATAAAAGTATCCATATAGTACTGCAGAGTTTTAAAAATTGTCTGCTACTATGCTAATGTCATTTAAAGAGCACAAGATGTACCTTATTATCCGGGAGGGGGGCTAGGGGAACAAAATTATGGGAGTCTGGGGACTCTAAGAGCCCCTGGAGCTTAACAAGTTGTGCAATTTGCTTTTATATGGTGTTTAAGGTCTGGTTGGTGTGAAAGGGGCCCCAGCAGATCCATGGGCTTTCTTTCCCACATTCCCATTTTCCTTGCTTGTGTGTTCTGTTGCTTTGTGGTCCCCCCCCCCATTCTGAACATTTTTGCTCTCCCTAGTGGTTGATTCAATATTACATCAAGCACTTGATGCAGAAACTGTTGATCTAGAGAGACTTTTGGTATAGGAAAATCAGCAAATTTCCAGACAAATAGCAAAATTCGCTTGCAACTGGTAAAATTCCACAATAAGAAGTAGATCAAGCATAACACTCACTCACCTTTTGCATGACTCATAATTAGTTTAGTTTTAGACATTTTATAATTATAATTATTGTTAAATTCTTCTCCTTTTAACATTTTAATGATTTTAAGGTTATATGTCTAAATATGTCAAAATATTTCTGGAGCTGAAAGCTAATTTGTATATTTTAACAAATTTGTATATTTTGATAAATGGCCTTTGACTGCAAATAAACATCATTCATTCATTCATTCATTCATTCATTCATTCATTCATTCATTCATATTACATCACTTTGTGTACAGCATAAAAACCTGCAATTTAAATCTGTGTTGTGTTATGTGGGACATAAAGCAATGTAATACTGAATCAATCACTAAAGCAAGCAAAAAAAATGTGTGGAACAGCCCCCCCTCCCCCTTCAACAGGAACACACAAGCAAGGAAAAGGAGAATGCTTGAAAACCCCTTTATTTGGGGATCTGTAGTGGTTCTCAGCAGCCCTGGGACCCGGCTTTCCTTGATGTACCCATGGAGAGGACAGTGGACAGGGAAAAGCTAGTCCCTCCATTTTTCTCATGAGGCTGAATGGGCAACAGAACTCCTCTGTCAACAGCACCATAATCTTGGGAAATGAAAGGGAGACTATTTCTTCCACTGGAACATCAGAACAGAGGATGTCTAGACTGAAGGGACTGTAATAAGACATATAAATAACACAGAGGCTTAGTGTCTACAGATCTTTGCTGCCTAGAGTGGGAGGAGCTGGAGCAGGAAGTTAGAGAGCCTGGGAATACAGTATTTGTTTGGCAATGAAATATTACATTTACTTCCTCTTTGGAATGACCTTCAAGTATGTAAACCCCTATTTTTTCACATGGACTCAGAATAGAGATGCCTACTGTTGAAGATGGGATTCAGTGTAAACTCCCACCATCTATTGTCCTTGTCTCTAAGTTATATGATCACCATATCAACCATTTTATTTCTCTGGCTTCCCTCCCCAAGAATGAAAACTTTATGGTCTTCATATCTTTTCCCCAGCCCCTTTCTTGAGTAATGGGCACTAGCTTGAGATTTCATAACAATAAATCACAACCTAGTGCTTAAGGTTAAGGGGGAAAGTAGGGAAACACTGGAAGATTGGGATGGAATTTGGGGATAATGTGATATAATTTCTGAGTGATGCTCTAGGCTGCCTCTCATAAAGTCTTTGCCATAGAGACTAGAAGAAATTCCTATACCATGGCTACGTGGAGGCCATTTTTTCTCCCACTCCTCAGTTCCTCAAGGGTGGGTAAACAGGAAGCTTGGGATGAGAGTCTATCTCTATCCCCCCCCCCCAAAGTGTTCCAAGGCACTGTTGCCCAGTGAAAATAGTTAAGGAACTCAACTGCTCAGCATTGGGAGGCCAGCCAATGGGTTGGATCCAATCAACTTTTCTGTGGGTGAAAAGTGGAGGAACTGGTTCCCTTTCACTACCAAAAGGGCTATACTGGTGATCATGGGACCTGCATGGACAAAAGCCCTGTGAGACGAGAGTGGGGCTATAGTAAGGAGGAGAATTGGCTGCGATTGAGCAAAAAAGCTGGCTGGATCCAACTCATGTTCAGGTGGGTGCACAGGTCCTATTTCATTATTATTAAATTTCATAGAACACAGAACTCAGTTTAATGATGTTTTTTTCTTTAAAAGTAATATCTTCTGCAAGGAACAGGAAGTCAGACAAGTTGTTACAGCTGATAATTAATATCTCTCTCTCTCTCTCTCTCTGTAAAAAGACAATTCCATAGTGTAAGGACCCCCACTCTTGTGATGCACATTTGTTATCAGTGAGAATTTAAATGCCCTTTGTGGCCTAGTTAAATGCAACATTTCTAGAGGGGATACACAATACAGTGTTCTAATTGGGCATATAATGGCTTTCCTCCCCTCAGCCCCTCTATGGCCCAGAATTCTAGCCACAGCTAAAATGTGTGAAGAAGAACATCAGTTTGTTAAGCATTGAGAACATTTAAGATGGCTGTAATCGTAATTGTACATTTGGGGATGAGGTCATTAAGCACTGTTCTGAAATAGTAGGTCAGAGCTTGTTGTCCCTTTTATTTGCCACTTAGGATGCTTTTGAAGAAGGTAAACTGAAATCAATTGATAGTTACCCAGCATCTATTGTTAGCAGCTGCGGGGGGGGGGGCACAATTCTTTCTTCACGCCATTGGGAAAGTACATTTTAAAGACTAGGGATACAGTCACAATGCAACTAGAAAAGGAGGGATATTTAATGTGAGGGAAATTAGGAGCCCTTGCTTTTATTTCTTTGTTTTTAAAACCTGTCAGTTGCATTTGCAACCCAGATGTGGCACTGGGAGCAATTTACTGTGCAATACAGCTGCTCTAGCCAAACTTGCAAATCAAAATACAGCAAATGTGATACAAACAGTTTAAAAAACCCCACAATGTAAGAACAAAAGAAACCATGGAGGCACAAGACACAGTTTCCAGGTCATATCACTAAGCAAAACCTTGAGAAAACAAAGCACATTACACATCAGTTGGCAATGGGTAGGCAGACAGTGCCAGCTGGTTTTCCTTTGGAATGTTGTTCCAAATGCATGGGGCCACCACCTGAAAAGCCTCGCTGCATTCTTTTGGAGTACTAGGTATGAAAGGGCAACTGTGTATATTTAATGCACCTTCTTTCTTCATTCATGTATAGTGTTGTCAGTTCTGGGTTGGGATATTCCTGGAGATTTTGGGGGTGGAGCCTGGGGAGGGCTTGGTTTCAGGAGGGGAGGGACCTCAGTAGGGTATAATGCCATAGTCTCTACCCTCCAAAGCAGCCATGTTCTCCAGGGGAACTGATCTCTGCAACCTGGAGACCAGTTGTAATTCTGGGAGATCTCCAGCCACCACCTGGAGACTAAAAATGAGAGATAACAGGAGGAGGGGGAAATCCAAACACAACATCCGTGACGAAAATAATGATGAGTCAATAAAGATATGTGTACGAAATCATTTACTGTAGTAATTCTGTAGAAAATTCTCTTCCATTATCGCTCACGCGCAACGGATACTGCGCAATATAAACAAATCTGTTTCACAAGAATGGCTTTATCTGAGCGCGTAGCAATCACAATTCCTATCCATTTCTACTTATCAACTCTTGAAGGAAACATCCCAGAACAGAAGCCAAGGTCTTCACGAAGATTCCTAGAGTATAAACGTCAAGAGTCAAAGCTCTCTATCAGTGCAATTCTAAAGGGAGCTACTCCAGTCTAAGCCCATTCATTTTAATGGGCTTAGACTGGAGTCACCCCCTTTAGGATTTCACTGTTTGTCTTGTATCTTATGGAGGGATCTTTGACTCTCATAAGCTTATACCCTGGAAACCTTGTTGAGCCCTAAGGGGCTACTGGGCTTGAATCTTTCTGTTCTACTGCAGACCACCACCATGGCTGCCCACCTGAAAAAGAAAGAAGGAGCCAGGTCTGCTCAGCCCTTCCTCCCCCCTGTCTTGTTTTCTTGTGTTCTCTTGCCTGCAGCATTTCCCCCCAGAAAAGGGCTTGAAGCAATAGAACACAGCGAGGGAAGGTGGGGGTGTGCAGCTGAGGTTTTAACTCTCCTAACTTTTGCACACTTTTCTGTGTATTAAGCCCCCTCCCTGCACTTTACACGGGAATGGTGAAGACACATGAATAAAATGTACATGGTTGCTCCATCACATTTAATTTGGCCCTTGGTAAGGTTTGAAAGAAGCTGCAGCAAGGCTTTTCCCGTAGTGGCTCCTTCTTTTGGAACTTCTTTCAATTTAATTTTGCTCATTTAAAATATTTATAAATCCATCCAGTTGCCAGGTCCAAATGCCGCTGCGGCAGGGGGAAGGAGGGAGTTTCCTGGGAGTGGGGCAGAGCGATGTGATGCTCTGATGTCACGCGGAAGTGATGTCAGCACGTTGGGGATGTCGCACTCAGGGCTGCAAAGACAGAAAGGAAGAGAGGGCCTGTATGGCCCTTCCAACTCTGTGAGGGC